TTAAAAAAAAAAAAAAAAAAAAATTTACCTCAAATGGATTAGAGGTTAGTTAGCAGCAGAGGGGGACAAAGCAGTGAGCAGTATTTCAAGAAATTCTCCTCCTTAATCCTGTAATGAAGTCACTGTGCTGACAACCTATTCCCCAGCAAAGTTTTCATAAAGGATGAGAGTGTGTGGAATTACAGAGGGCCACATCTGGTGAAAGAGACCTTCACTCAGGTCTAGGGATAAACAAAAGCCTCCTCTTTTTGCCAAGAGAAAAATACTTTCTTACAGGGTGGATTTTGACAACCTCAGAGAGATGCCCATTTTGGTCTTGGATGTTAATGAAGACTTTAAAAATGATAAGATTAAACAAGAGGACTTGATCGATAAGGTAAGAAAACAAGGCTTTTTTCAGGTGGTGTTTACTCTACTCAAAAATAAGGCCACTATGACTTACCAGTGTAAGCTGTTGGTTCCAGCAGCTTCATGCTGGCAAGACCATAATTCAAAAAAACTTCATAGTCAAGCTGCAGTAGTTAGTCTCTCTTTGGGAATAACTGTAAATATGTTGGTCGGAGATAGATTTAGCAAGTTCAGCTCTCTGCATTTTGTCAAACGTTGCTGGAGTTTTAGCTGTAAAGGGCTAGGAAGTCCCATAAGGGAAGTGAGGCCTGGAAGAGCGCTAGCTTTGCCCTCTTCCTAGCCCCCGCTGACCATATGGCAGGGGGTCCCAACCTTTTTAGATCACAGACTGGCAAGCCGCAGACCAGAAGTGACCGTGGGACTGGCAAGCTGCAAATCAAAGTGACCAGCAAACTACAGACCGGCAGCCAACACTTTTTTATACTTTATAAAGAAAGAGTTGGCTGCCAGGTCCACAATATGCCAGTCACTTCCTGACTTTGGGTCTGGCAAACGACCTGTCGCACACTGCAGTCCGGTGTTGGGAACCTGTGCCCATAACCCACTGAACAAGAGGGGATGGAGGGGGAAGACTGCAGGAACCCACTCCATCTTTTTCACACCAGTCAACGTAGGAAGATTAAGCAGCCAGGCAAGATACAAACTTGTTCCCTCCTCCCACCCTGTGGTTTATGTTTTCAAGTCCCTTTAGGTACATGATTCTGAAAGGCCCAATATTTATCTTACTCACACGTGCCAAGGCTGCATTTCCCCTTCCCTTCAGTGCACCCTTCCCCACCGGTACAGTCATCTCCACGCTGTAGTGCAGGTTGAAACCCCCCAGGGCTGAAGCAGCTCTTGGAGGCAGTTCAGGGCAGGATGGGCGCAGCACGGTGCAAGGTGGCCGGTGCCTCTTCTTAGGCTTCTCTTGAGGACTTCAGGCCGCAGCAGCAGCAGCAGCTGTTTAAAAGCTCAGCATTGCCTGGATGTCTTGTTTCAACAGGTCAAGGCTTTCCTGAAGTCCTAACCGCTGGGAGATGCCCCCACCTGCGTGTGTCGTACATACACGCGATGCTCCGCGCTCCCCGCACCGCGCCAGCTTGGCCCCCGGTTGTTTTTAATAAAGATTTGCAAGCCAGCTCGGGCTGGGGGGGGAACTTCTTGGCCGCGACGCCCCCTCGGCTACTCCCGGAACACAGCGGAGGGCGGGCGGGCGGAGCCGCGAAATGGCGGCGCAGGGCCAGGCCCGCGCGGATCATGGCGGGAGGCGGGCAACCGCCGGCCGCGGGGCTCGAACACTGGGGGACCGTTGGCGGGGGTGGCACCCGGGCCCCAGACCCTCCCCTCCCCGCGGCCGCGAGCACTCACTCAGGCCGGGGATCTCGCTCTCGAGCTCCTCGC